AAATCCGAAGCCGAATTTATCAAAGTCGCGGAGTGGATTTTGAGGCAAGAAGAAGTGGTATGACAGGACGAACGTACCGTAAATACCGAGTAAAACGAACGTGCTCTTAATAGGGTTGGCAGCAGAGGTGGTTGGTAGGGGGGGGGGGCGCCTACTACTACTACTACTACTACTACTACTGCTACTACTACTGCTACTACTGCTACTACTTCTGCTTCTACTACTGCCGCTACTGCTGCTACTGCTATTGCTACTGCTACTGTTTCTGCTACTGCTACTACTTCTGCTACGACTGCCACCACCACGACTACTGCTGCTGCTGCTGCTGCTACTACTACAATGTTACGACTACCACTACTACTACTACTACTACTACTACTACTAGCACTACTACTACTGCTACTACTACTACTACTACTACGACTACTACTACTACTACGACGAGGACGACGACGACGACTACTACTACCCACGACTATGATTCCTACCTCTGCTCCTACTCCTACTCTAACCTCTACCCCTACCGGTACTCCGGCCTACTTCTACTCCTACTCCTACTCCTCATCCTCCCCCATCGTCACCATCGTCACCCACAGCGGCATCTAGCCACCAACTGTGGACACGTCAACTTGGCCCTTGGCAGCATGTAATGAATGTCATGTGAAAGCCCGGACAAGCAACGCTGCACCACGGAAAAAGCGGCAGCCCTCGAAGTATACCCGCGCACAGAGTTCGAGGAAGTACCTGCTCCAGGACAAATCGAGGCTCTGGCTTTGGGAACATACACACACACAAGTACACACAATTACACACGTAGGAAACAAAGGTCTGCAGTGAGGAAAGCAGCAAAAGGCAAGGGGGCATACGGAACAGCACAATGCACCAGGATAAAATGATGGCTCGAGCCACCGACAGCACACTTGGTTGCAGGTCTGGCGCTCTCAGAATTTCAATCCTGACGGCGAAGAAACAAACCTGCAGGCAAAGGCGCAACACGGCAAAGATGTTGTCGCAGATATTGAAGAAGTCGGACATGTCAACACCCTGGGGCTGTGCCGGTCAAGTGTTGCGCTTCTCCCAACCGCTTCGCAAACAAACTTACTTGATCGCATCGGGTTTCGAGAAGTTGATGGCGCAGTTCTGGGGCTTGAGAAAGTGCTTGTCAAGCTGTGAAGTATGAACTGTCATGCCATGCCATAAATACAGCAGCCACCGGCATGCCTCAAAAAGTGCTCTGTAGGCTTAGTATCCTACCGGATGCTCTGTCAAACGGCAAGCTGCTACGGGTCGACTCTCCACCTCCAACTTCAGAATGCAATGAAGGCTGCTTGACCCATCTGTTCATCGCGACAACAGTGTGCCAAGCTTTCTCCTAACTGCTCAACGAATCTTGAGTTCAAGATCAGGACACCAGACTTAGACTGAGATGGCAGAAGGGTGCACTTTGCGGGACAAGTTACGCTTAAGTTTTTTGTGCTCGACGTGGCCCCAAATCGGAACAACTACTACAGCTCAGGGGCAGCGGGCTTTAACACCTGAGCACCGAAACTCTTGCTTCAAGCGTCAGGTAAGGTCTCCAGACCTATCTTGGAGCCGGTGGCGCGTCCTGGACACTCAAACGCTGCACTCGAAGGATCGAAGCAAGCAGAATTCGAAAGTTCTCGTCCCGCTTTGAGAACTGAAACTAGAAATGCAACATCTGAAGCTGTATGGAGGCCCAGTGGACAAGGTCACGCTCACGTGAGCATCAGAAATTACTCGCGCCCAAAAATGGCCTAGCATGTGCACCTTCGACAACTGCATTGCATCACTACGACCTGGTCATCCAAATTGACTTAAGAAAACTGCCATGATTCCAACAATGCTCCTACTACTGCTCATGCTGATCAAATCTTGCTGCTGGAAAACTTAACGACCCCTGTTCTTGCAAGTCAACAAGGTGTAGCAGCATGTGGTTGCGACAACCCCATCCTTCCAACTCCAGCTCCACGGCCATGACCAGCGAGTTCAATAGCACGAAGATCCCAGCCTAACCGCTTTACGACCCTCGCAGCTGCGAACCAAGAAAGCACCTCCAAGGACGCGCAACCCCGGAACCGAAGCCTAGCCGCCACTGTCACGCATGCTTCGGTGAATGCCAGCACTCAAGAGGACCCAGGACTAACCTTCCCACCGCACTGCCACTACGGATGCGGGATGCACGCATCAAAGCGTCAGTGGCTAGCCACTGTGGCATGAAAATTTCGGAAGCTGGAAAACATCCGGAAATCCACCTTTCCTGAATCCCTCTCCAAATCCAATCGTGCTCCTGCCAGCTCATTCACCTGGAACGTCTCCCCACCGGAAAAAAGCCCTGAACCTCTTGAGGCTGACAGCAAAGACTTGGAGTCCTCGTGAAGCAACATGAGCACAGCAAGCTTTATCGGAGCAGGGTATTGTGCAAACTCGCGCACTGTGAGTCATGCGAGGTAGAAACAGGCTTTTCGAAACTGAAGCTTGCCGGGACAGACAACACATCACACCGTAATTAGGACACAATGTGCAGAAAAACCCGCGCTGTAGACAAAGATCCGATTTGAACGGCATCGCAACCCTATACATTGCAAATTGACATGCACTGTGCGTCCCTGCGCGCCATAGAATCTAGTCTAGTCTAAGCCAACACCGAGGGCAGGACCAGCATGTCCAATCGCATCAGGATGGGGCTCTTGCCCTGGTCCTTCCCTGCCAGCTTTTCAGGAATCCCAGGTCCAGTCTCTGGCCCACAACGGTCAGCGCTTCGCAAACGTCCGCCACTGTTTTAAAATGCAAAGTTTGCGATTCAGTGTCTCGGCTCTCACACTCAAGGCACCGGCAAGCGACCATGTTCTTTTCGAGGGTTTGGGGAAATCTGACCCTGACGTGAGCTGAACTGATTTCGAACATCAGGTTCCATGGAAACGGACAGCTGAACCTGTCCTGGACTGAAATCATACACCAAACCAACTACCAGCATCTACCAGCAGTCACAACCTCCAAACATGCCCACAACCCGTTGGAGGACAAGTCGACGGTGCAAGAACCAAACTTCAGTAAATCGGAAGCCCCCACGGAGCCACCTCCGAAGGGGTTCGTGCCCTCTGACATTCTCCCCAGGTTCCTGCAAAGCTGTGGAGCTTCAACCTGTAAAATCGAAAATGGAGGGTTCAGGGTTTCATGTGTGCTTCTCACAGGCGCGGCTTGCCGACTGAACTGTCGGAACTCAAAGGCTCCGATGACACCACAATAGTTTTGAGATTGACTTTGTCCAAGGCAATACAAAAGCCACCTTTCACGATCTTCCAACTTCTGCTGGCTCCAAACACGGCGCAAACCACTTCTCAACCACGCAAGTTACGAGCGGTCATGCTGTCGGGATCTGCACCGCCGTTCTGAATCTCCGACTCGAGTTGAGAGTCGATTTCCTGGATCTTTGCCGACACTGCGTGATCCATGACCTGAGGGTCACGGCAAGATGAGACGGCATGGGTTATGCAGTCCAGAACCCTACATGTTTGAAAGCACTTCGTAAACATCTAAGCTCAGTCGTGCAGCCCATGCCCACTAACCGAAGACAGGCAATATGAGGTTTGGCACTCACAGAATCGACTCATCAGGCTGCAACTGCATCTAACAAACCGTGCAGTGCATGCGCAGCTCAACCACACAACCCACACACAGATGAAGCTTCTCGACTCAGGGCGCGACATCGTCGCTCGCACGAGGGCTGGGGATGCTGACAGTTTCTGACTGGCTGGTCCTGCAGCACTGAAAAGCCCGGCCTGATATATCCAATACCTTGTGGCATTCTGATTGCATGGAAGATTGCTTCTGCTGTCAAACCTCGTGCACTTGCACCGCTGCATGGGAAAACCCGAATTCAGCGTCTTTCCATATTCCAAGATTGCTTGGTTTCGAAACTCTTGAATCTTACGGTTTGATTCAAGCCAGGCATCCACTGAAGTGTATGCGGGGCAGGGTCAATATCTGGCGGCAACAGCGGCTGCAAGGGACGAGCACGGTGCTCCAGGCATTGGAACGCACCTGGCATAATCGCACGTTCTTACATTGTTGTCTACGTTGCCGGCAACACGTGACAAGCTCAAAACTGACTGTGCAGGACAAAAGCGGCTCAGTCCAACAATGCCTTCCAACACGAGCATCTGATGTGCAGGTTCGGCCCTGCACAATCATCATGCACGAGTTGCGTATGACAGGCATTGACATCTGTACATGCACAAGTTGAGCCGCCGGCTGAACTACTTCATCGCCCACATCCGCATGTCTCAAGGCTTCACGGAGAGTCTCGTGCTGCGAATCCACAAGTTGATGAAGTGCTTGCCTCGGTATCACCAACAAGTGCCACTCTAAATTTTCATACTGGATGGACACACGGTCAGCAAAACTGCGAATGCTTGCTGTTGCCAAGCTTCTGGTGCAAAGACACCATGTTCATGATACGGTCCATTCCAGGTCCCAATGGCACTGACATCCACCACGTCAACGTCCCTAGGCCGAACAGAACCCAATAAAACCTTTGGATGCAGAGGAAATAAAACGTTTTCTGAGCCGCACGCACACTGACGAATTATCGTGGCATCTCTGCTGCCATTCTTCGTGCTCGAGCCAAAAACTGAAAGCAAGATTGGCTGGCATAGCTTGAAAACACGCAAATATTGGGTTTCTGGGGGTGCTGTCGGACCGTTGGTACCCGCTTCGTTCTATAGGATGCTCCACGGCTCCGTGGAAAACACGGAGCCTCGCCCGCACGTTTGGAACTCTTCGCAAAGGGACATGTGCAAGGCGCCCCCGCCAGCGGCAACTCGAGTGGCGAGTTTCCCAGCACACATTGGATGTGCCGACATCAATGGCCAAGGACCACACGTTTGCATCAGCGCGCAGTTGACAGTACAGGTATGTTCGGATGATATACAGATCTTGCAACCAAGACATTGACAGCATTCGCTGACGCATTGTGAACTTTCTGCTGCAAATCCGTAGTCCGCCAGCGCTACATCACTGGAGACATGCGGCTTGCCGAAGGCGGGTTGGGGAAAGAGTTGACAAGGCTGTCGCTCAGCAACGGGGGCTCGCCGGTAACAGCCGGTAAAGGGCAAGGAGAGGATGCTAGCCATCGAGAGGCAAAGGCAGAGATGCACATTCCGCACGAGGAAACGTAGGCATTATCCAGGTTTCCACTCACGCAGCTGGAGGCGCGCGGCATCGTTCGCCGGTGTCGGCTGTATTGCCAGCTGTGGATCCGGACCTTCGGTGCCCCACAGTTCCTCGTCTACGACCAAGGCAATGAGTTTTTCGGCGCTCGCTTTCAGGAGGGCATTGAACAACATTGGGACATGTCCGATTGCGATAAGCAGGGATGCACCCTTCGAGAACGGTGTCAGTGAGAAACGTGGTGGCCTCTTCCAGGACATCATAGGACATCTACCACAAGACCCGGGAGTTGGTTCAGCCAGAATAAGTGAATGAGATCGAGACCCTGCACTGTGGTGAATCGGTTTGGCTACTCGCCAGCACGGGGAGTACTTGGCCGGCAACCTCAGGTTGGAATGGAGACCTTGCCGGGCCAAGGTGATTACCATTTGTCGACTACACAAAACCGAACATGGGCACGGGCAGAGCAAATTCGACAAGCTGCCCGAGAAGCTTTGGTACGACTTGACGCCCGAACGACTTGCCCGAGCTCTTTGATGGTCGACCAAAACAGGAAATCGAGAAGTTGTCCTTTGTCGAGGGCGAGCCTGTGATGATTTGGCGCCAAGGACGGCGAGGTGCTTTGGCCCAGGAGAGGCCTTGCTTTGTGGTGATGTAAAGTGACCACCGTGTCTGAGTGACGAGGCGTGGTGAGTGCGCTCAAGTGCCACATCTCGCAAAAGTTTCCAATAAGGCCATTTGAGCTACTACAAGCAAAGAACAGTTGCGGTATGGCGGTGAGAAACCCTCCTACCGAGATGTGACCCTCATGCACTACCAGTCCGCGAAAATCCGCCAGAACCTCATGTCCATTTTCTTTTCCCTCGCACCTTTCTGCGACCATTTGGGGGAATGTAGACGTAGAGCACTGAGCCTGGGGTGTCCGTGAAGACAGATGGCGGGTCATCAAGTCCAAATTCGTCATTCGTCGCCAAGCAGTTTTTTTTAAGCAGTTCGAGCAGCAGTTCTGCATCACCAAAGGGGAAGTTAGCTAAGATCCCACGAGCTGCCGGGTGACCACCTCACGGTGATGGTACCCAGCTACGGTAATTGAGCAGGATCGACAGAAATGCTAGCAGATTCCGGACATCAATGTTGACAGGTCGTCTCTGGAGCGATGTGGTACAGCGGATCACATTAAGCGGCGATACCGGCAAAGTGATCTGCATGGAGCATGCGACCACCAAAGAGCATTCCGGACAGCTATATCGCGCTCTGCCGGAAGGCGTGAACACCATCCGCACCATCACAACAAAGTGTCCGGGCAGGCAGAGGAACTCGTTAGTGCCCTGGCGATGAATATGGTCGTGTGATAACGCGGATAACGAAATTTCTTGACGAGGCAACCAGTGAAGTCAACCCTCAGACTCCGGGTGGCGATCACCGAATGCCACGGTCCAGAATTTTCGGGACATGGGTTGCTGATGTGGTAAACGAATAGGGAAATACATCCAAGCACATTTTTTTTACCACACGCCTTTTTGCGTCCGCGAGGTACCAAAGGTCCCGGCGCAGCCGAACCTGCGCACTACCGGGCGATCAGGGGGTAGGGGGGTGCTAGCGCACCTCCGCGAGGAGCTAGTGCAGCTCTGGCCCGGGCCCGTCACCAAGGTCAGCGGCGGGAGGCAACTCAAGCAGGGAGGCAGCGAAGGCGCGCTGCGCGGCGACCGCGAGGAGCCCCGACCAGCGCGCTGCCCAGCCAGTGTAGCGGCAGGACGCAGCAGCCTGGGGACAGCAGCGGCTCGGTGCCACGCCCGGAGGGCGCAGGAATTGCACAACTTCGGTGCTGAACCTGCTGCCAACTTCCGTACCAACGACGACCAAGCGGCATCTCCGGGCATGGCCGAGCTCCGGATAAGCGTTGGCTTACTCGCTCCTGGAGTTGCCGTTGGCGGCAGCAGACGAATGCGACGGCACGGCGCCACCCCTCGGTGACCTGCTCGCGGATGCTTGTGGCACCGAGCCAGTCCCCGCGAGCCGTCTTCCGGCTCCGTGCTAGTCCACCCGTCCCCCCGCCACGTGGTCC